TTATTAGAATGCATTCGTTAACAATACATTTTGCAAAACTTTCAAAGTGGTTCCTGGAGGAGTGGAGCCCAGTATCGACTTCAGATGATCCGTTAATAAAAAATCGAAAGTAGCAAGATCGGAAAATCTTGCAGGAAATTCAATCGGACTCCTTCTGCTCATCCAATGCCTGGTAAATTTTTCATCCATAAATTTCCTCAGTGCCAAAGGACCATAGTGAAATTTTTATATTTAAATATTTCACAACTAATCATACGTTTTATCAGTCAGATTTCTGGGAACAAAATAAGACCAAACCAGCTGAACGTCGAAAGTACCCTCCGAAACGCATATTTTTTCAGAATATTGTGAATGCGCGTCGCGGAATTAATTGCGGAATTAATCGCGGAGTTAATATCTAACCAACATAAACAGCTCCGTGTGACCAAGTAAGGATTATTAGTGCCAGTTAGAGGTGGGATAAACGGTTATTTTTCTGTAACAAGGTTACAACGTTCCAGTTCAACGTTCAACGCGGTTCCAAAAGAAACATGTTACTTTTAAAAATTTTCTTTAAACATGCGCAATGATGATGATGGTCGAAATAGTAATGACAAATAATGATTTAGTTTATTAAAAGAATAATTCTTAACATAAGCTCTTAGATAAAATCAAATATCTTAAAATCAAAAACAAAACATGGGTCAGAAGTACCTGCTTAAAGAACAAAAGAATCGATAATAAACTAGATAAAATATATAAATAAAAACTAAGTAAATAAAATAAATATACGCTTTATTTGCAAAAATGTTTAAAAATCAAATTTTTATTTAAAAATGAATTAACTTAAAAAAAAAATTGCAGATGCTTTTTACTGAGTTCGCAGCATTACCCGATTTAATTTTTGCACCACCAAAAAAAACTTATGTGGACATCGCCTATATAACTAACTTTCATTTCATCTTGTGAATGAATTTATATTTAAAAATGGCAAACTTGCTTAAATGCAGGTACACATTCTGCTTACAACGTTTAATATTTTACATTTCAACTGTGATGGAATTTATGTCTTAGACTCTAAATTTGGCCATAGCTCATATGCAAGTGTACATTCTGCTTCGTTTACTGATTATAGGCATATACATCTCGAGCTAAGTTTATTAATGAGAAAAATCCCTTTTTTTAAGATGACAAACAGAACGTCAGAAAACTATATACTCATAGACTAAAAATGCTGAATTAATATCTGATCCATATCTGAACCATTATGGATTCTGGAGAACTGAACAGTAATTCTTATAAACAAAAAGTGATACAACAATAATCAAGGCAACACGCCACTATACATATTTTCCGTTGACAAATGGTTACTGAAACTGCAGCAATTGCATAGAGCGCTCGACGATGCCGCATCGGTTCTGTGCTGACGCGAACCACTTTTTCAGGTTTATGAGACAGTTCTGAAAAAAAACGTTTAAATCGTCAAACGGCTGCAGCTGGTGCAAAGT